TTGAAGCATATACTATAAAGTATACAACATATCCCTCCCCCAAATCCAATACCCAAACCCTCCTTTAAAATGCAGGCATTGTCTTCCCATTTCTATACCAAGTCCGGCTATGAAAAAAAAACCGGTTTTCCCTGAAACCCTTTACAAAAAAAATTACCCTGTCACACTCCCAAAACTCGTCAGGTCCCAAATTCATTCGTCTCCATTCACTTCCTAACACGCTCACATGCTTTTCTGGAATCCAAGCCCCCTTGCCCCCAAAACCTCCTTTAAAACCCCCCCCCTCCAAACCTTTTTTAAGGGCGCCCCCTACCCACCTTCCCTTTCCCCTACAGATTTAATGCTCTCCATGTCATTCTACTTTATCTATTTCCTCTAAAAGACCAACCCACCCAAAACCCCTCTTCGCCCTCAATACTTTTATTAACTCAACACCTTCTCCTAATTTTCACACTCCGAATTTTCTGCATAATATTTGCACCACACATTGCCCTTAGACAGGACATCTCCATCGCCTCCTCGTTGCAGCATTTACCACCCAAGCTTCACACCCATATAAGAGTGTTGGTACCACTATACTTTTATACATTCCCTTCTTTGCCTCCATAGATAATGTTTTTTTGTCTCCACATATACCTCAATGCACCACTCACCTTTCTTCCCTCATCAATTCTATGGTTAACCTCATCCTTCATACATCCATCTGCTGACATGTCAACTCCCAAATATCTGAAAACATTCACTTCTTCCATACTCCTCCTCTCCAATTTGATATCCAATTTTTCTTTATCTAAATCATTTGATACCCTCATCATCTCATCACAAGTACATGCACTTGTAGAAATAAAGATATTATTATTATAATTACATCAGAACAGTGGTCTCAATGACTTAGTTCTAAGTGACAGACAGTGAAGGGGGTTAAGTTGGAATTTGCCAATAATAGTGAAAAACTGACCAAATTACCAAACCGTGGGTGCGTAACCCCTTGACTGTCGCAACCCCAAATCTTGAGGTGTCTCCTGGTGTTGCAAAATTTCCCCTCCAAAAAAAAAAAAATTATTTTTTCTTGTGAAATGATAGAGAATCTTTTCCCGATTGTAATGACACCAAAAGAACGAAATTTGATGGAAAACTGACTGAATTACGCTTTCGCAAAGTTAGCGACCTCGGCAATGTTTACGAATCGGCGATTTCGCCCACTTTGAGCCGTTTTTGGCTAATTCCATTGTTCCAGTCGACCAAACTCATAACTATTTCTTTAGAACTCCATTTTTTCTATCGACTGAGTACAAGAAACTGCCCATTTACCGATTTCAATTACCCAATAACATGGTCAGAAATTTGCAATTCGGCCAATTTCACAAACATTAAAAAATATGACAATTACAAAATAGGGTCCAAAATGAACAATGCAGACATTCCTGGCTATAAAATAACATTTTCTTTGTTCATCAGTCACGTCTCCAGGCCCCTGTGATATTACTCTTGATTTCCATTTTGAATTTTTATTCAAACAAAAAATAGAAAATTTACTGTTATGCAGACTACTGCAATATTGTAATAATTGTATAAATAATGTCAACTCATTCATGACTGCATATTAGAATGGCTACTTGGATACTTATTGGAAAATGACATCATTAGTTTCCTTTTGAACATTGGCAAAAATTTCCCCTACTTTGAGCTCCATTTCAAGGTTCTTTTTTCATAGTAAAACCAATCAAAGTTACCTCTATTTCTATAATATGCTTTCCATTCTATCAAATGAGACCAAGAAAACGAGAATACAATCATAAATACTACACGAAAATAGACCACAAAGTTGGCATTTTAATTAAAAAAAACGGTCAGTTTTTTTTCTCATTATGCACTGCATGCTGCTGGATTTTTTTTTATACGGTGCACACTGACCACACAGACCCATTCTCTCACATGTGGGCCTACCAGCTTTCTCCTGCTTGATTTGAAGCCCCTAGAATTTGAGTATATATATGTCAAAAACGGAGGCTCGTAAGACGTATATACACCTACCATCCGACTTACGACCTGCTTGACTTACGACCACTCGACTTACGACCGTGTTTTTTATGCCAAGTTTCTGGGAAATAAACAACTATTTGTGTTGTACACAGTGTTTATCCTAAACCTTACAGTATAAAATACAGTACTAACAGCATAAAAAGTAAAGTAAAACATGAAATACCAAAATAAAGCAATAAAATAAAGTCATTGCAAAAATGTGATGTTGATATTCAGTAGTAAAGTTCGACTTACGTCCATTTCAACTTACGACCGGTTTCTCGGAACCAAACTCGTCGTAAGTCGGATGGTAGGTGTATATATGACCAAAACAGTCAAAGGTTAATGAAGTAGTTCTGATAGTTGAATGGATGGGCATTTTCTAAGATCACTGGCTAGGATAGAAGGCAGAATTTTGAGCCAGCCTTCATTGGTGTGGACATTTTTCTATTGCCTAAGAATCAGTGACGAATTTTCCCCATTCTCTCTGAGACGCTGTCCTCGTCTACTTTGCCCGCTGGGCACATTACAGGAGGGCACCTATCATCGGCTTACTTTAGCCAGCTCCATTATTTCCATCTCATGGGAAGCCAGTTACTGAACTTACGTGAAAGTGTAGGTGTATTGCTCTGCTGAGGCTTGGCAAGGGAGTCCACCTGATCTAACTGGGAACTTCTAGTTCTTGTTTCTGTTTATGAAGGAACTTGTGTTCTTTTTGCTTTCATCTCCCAACTTTGGGCAACAAATCTTCCCTGTACATCAGGAAGTTAGGCTCGATATATGGCGTAAGCTGTCAGTGGCCCTGATAAACCCAACAAAGAAGGAGAGATGGAAGCTCATACCAGCAATACACCCAAAAATTGAGTAAGCTTGAGCATTAGAATAGGGTGACATCACTGCTGTGTAGAGTGCTCTCTAACTTCAATTTTTAGCCTGCATAATTCTGTAAGTATTACATAAAATTTTGCATTTTTGATGTCATTATCTTAGGAAAAAGTTAGGAAGTTATTTCCATTTATTTTTCAAAAAATTTTTGCCACTACAGATGGGGTTTTTAGTTTGGGGAGAGGGGGGGGGGCACTGATGACAGCTTAAGGGTTAAACAGCCCAATAAAAATGAAAATCTCCCTTTAAGTAGAGTACACTAGCACTAAAAATTTGAAGCTGATCAGATATTCTCCAGCTGTCACACAAACCAATAATTCTCTACATTTTAATTACATTTAACCCTTTGACTGTCGCGGCCGTATATATACGTTTGCGAGGTACCGTGTTTGACGTATACATACTCATAAATTCTAGCGGCTTCAAATCAGGCAGGAGAAAGCTAGTAGGCCCACATGTGAGAGAATGGGTCTGTGTGGTCAGTGTGCACCACATAAAAAAAATCCTGGAGCACGCAGTGCATAATGAGAAAAAAAAAACTCCGACCGTTTTTTTTAATTAAAATGCCGACTTTGTGATCTATTTTCGTATAGTATTTGTGGTTGTATTCTCGTTTTCTTGGTCTCATTTGATAGAATGGAAACTATATTATAGAAATGGAGTGATTTTGATTAATTTTACTAAAAAAGAACCTGGAAATGGAGCACAAAGTACAGGAAATGTTTGATTTTTGCCGATGTTCAAAAGTAAACAAATGATGTCATTGTCCAATAAATGTCCAAATAGCCATTCTAATACGCAGTCATGAATGGGTTGATGTAATTTTTACAATTATTACAGTATTGCAGTAGTCTGCATAACAGTAAATCTTCTATTTTTTTTTGAATAAAATTTCAAAATAAAAAGCAAGAGTAAATATCAGAGGGGCCTGGAGACATGACTGATGAACAAAGAAAATGTTATTTTAGAGCCAGGAATGTCTGCATTGTTCATTCTGGACCTTATTTTGAAATTGTCGTATTTTTTAATTTTCGTGAAATTGGCCAAATTGCAAATTTCTGACCATGTTATTGGGTAGTTGAAATTGGTAAATGGGCAGTTTCTTGTACTCAATCGATAGAAAAAATAGAGTTCTGAAGAAATAGTTATGAGTTTGGTTGACTGGAATAACGGAATTAGCCGAAAATAGGGCTCAAAGTGGGCGAAATTGCCGATTTTTAAATATCGCCGAAGTCGCTAACTTCGCGAGAGCGTAATTCCGTCAGTTTTCCATCAAATTTCGTTTTTTTGGTGTCTTTACAATCGGGAAAAGATTCTCTATCATTTCATAAGAAAAAATATTTTTTTTTTTTTTTTTAAATTTTGCGACACCAGGAGACACCTCAGGATTTGGGGTTGCGACAGTCAAAGGGTTAATAACTAAACAAATCTAGACCAACTATGGTGAGCTTTCCTTAGTTTTTAATGTATCAGCGTTTGAAGCTCAAGACTGTAAAGAAAAGGCATTCTCAGGTTATCTCAAAAAATGGTTTCACTAATTTTTCAAATAAAATTGGCAAATTATCACATACAAAAGCCAATAACAATCAAGACTTTCGTCTAAGATGCACTAGCATTGAAAGTTTGAAGCCAGTCAGAAGTGGCATTTTCAAGTTATCAGTTAAACCTTCAAGGCAAAAATAAAGAAAACAGGAAAAATGTGACAACCATAGGTAGTGTACATCTTCACAGGGAAATATTTAATTACTGTATAGTACTGCAGCTGGTAAATGAGTGCTAAAATTTGCTCTCTAAACTACTGTTTAAAGGAAAATTTGAGCAAAATCTATATAAATTATAAAATATGAAAAACCTTGACCTTTCACTATTTTTTTTTTTTTTTTTCAAATTTTTTAAGTTTTCCTAGAATTTTTAGAGGGGTTCCATTTTTCCAAAGAAACTAACAAAATTTTTGGCTAAACATACTCCTCTGTATAATGCAATGCTATAGAGTATGGTATATAGTTACAGTAGATAAATTTACATCAAGAGAGGAGACAAAACTGCTCTTCATGTAAGAGTTACGAAGACTCAGATTAAACTTTATATCTCACCTGATCCTTGAGCATTATTGCTAGTTCTCTCCCCTTGTCCACATAGTCAGTAAACGTCACTTGTTCTGCATTAATGGTAGCCAGGGTCTCCAACCACTCCTTCTCTACAAGGCCAACCTGCCAGAAGTGGTGCCATTAATTAAAGAGAAATGTATAACATATACCGTGATGAATAATTAGACACATATGCAACATCTGGTATCTTTAATGTAGACATTTCGCCATCCAGTGGCTTTATCAATACAAATTCTAGGACATAGTTTGAAGACAGTAAAACTATATACAAAAGATGAGGTAAACAGCCCCTCAGCCTTGGAGTTGGCATGAAGAGCACTGAAGTCGTGAAGAATCTGGAGCAGGGGCAATTACTGTAGTAGAGTCGCTGGTATAATACCCCAGCCCGGGCCTTTTCCAAGTGATGGCCCGGCTTTCCCTCCCTGTTGAGGGATTTCTCAGACCAATGTCTGCCATGGGAGGAGGCACAAGTACCACCTCGCTTCTGGGACTAGCTGTCCCCAGGCCTAGCCCCATTCCCCACCCCCATGGAGCCCGAAGTGAGAAGCTAGGCACCCTGTGCTGCCACAAACCCCCCGCCCACACTGGGCTTGAAGGGTGTGGCAGCTGCATAATAGCAGACAATGTTAGGAGGTGAAAAAGGCAGCATGCACTACAGGATCCTTTTCAAGCCACAACTCAGCTTTGGGCTGAGGCCCAAGTGCTGGGAAGGCTCAAGAATGCCTCTTGCTGTGAGTGTTGCTGCTGCTGCTACTTCACTTGTCTGTTGCACTCTCCAGGGCACAGGCAAGAAGGCTGGCGCTTGTATACTGGTGTCAGGTGAAAAAGGATGGGTAGCAGATGAAGGCATTGTCACTGGCAGGCAGGATTTCCCAGCAGAAGTAGGTCATACCCAAGGGATGGGTTAGTAGAAGTGAAGAAGGCTGTGATGTCCTATGAACCAAGATTCCATGATGTTGCAGTGTCTGACAAGTTGTACATGAATGATATCATCGGTATTGTAAAACCACTCATGTACAACATATACCATACTTTACAGCAAAGAAAATCTGTTTTTAATCTCAAATATAAGTTTTGAAAATTTACCCAGCACCTTCAGGTCAAAGTACTATTTATCTTTTTTCCAAATTTAGCCAATCAGAAATGGGAGAAGCGTCCTTGACAACGGAGTGTCTTATTTGGTGTAAAATACAGTATGTCCTGCACAATAATAAAAATGAATATGACAAGTAGAAATGTTTTACTGAAAATAGTTTATAATACACAGTATAAGTATTTTTGTACCTAATATAGAATATTGAACAGAAGGTATACATCTAAAAAACTGTTTTCATCCATCACATCTGGATATGCTGTAACCAGTGGGGACAAATTTTAAAAAATACAATTGTTATAATCAGATTTTACTGTTGATATTGAGGAAATACAGTGGTTCCCCCTGTACTGCAGGATAATTCCAAGACCTACCGGGGAAATACCCAAACTGGGGAATAGCAGCGAACCCTAATATAAGTAGTTTTTCTTTACATACATACCTATGATAAATACATACATACCTATTGATAAATTATGCACAAGATGCGAAGAATTATCACTTTTTTACTGATGGGGAAGCACTTCACAGCTTCTGTTAGGCTCTGAAGAACTGCCAGCATCACTACTTTCATGCTTTGGGGACATTATTAAGCAAAATTAAGGGTTATTTTCAGGCCACGGTAAACTGTGGATAACTGAAACCGGGGAAACTGAATCCGCTGATACAGGGGTCCTACTGTATAAAGTAACAATCACTGAAAAGAATGCAACACTTTTGACAATCATGTTTTGTGAGCCACACCTGTTAATACCTGATTAGGGATATCACACCAGGGATACCACACTAGGGATACCTTACCATGTATACATCACCAGGTATACCTCACCAGATATACCACACTAAGGATACCTCACAAGAGATACCTTGCCAGGGATAGCTCACCAGTGATACCTCACCAGGGATAAAAAAAAAAAAAATAATCTACATTAAACATATGACAAATGATTTACTAATTACATTTAATATTAATGATTTACATTTGCTGTTTTTACATTCATTATACATGCACTTATGTAAAGTAAAAGGACACAAGTGCAACTAATGTGACATTTTATTTCGGCAAAAGTTTCGCTCTCCAGGAGCTTTGCCAAGCCGTAACGACTTGACAAAGCTCCTGGAGAGCAAAACACTTCCACAATAAAATGTCACATTTGTTGCACTTGTGTCCTTTTACTTTACATATTGTCAGTACTTCTACCAACATATATACAATACATGCACTTACAAAATTTATATATTTGTTAACCAACAAAGAAAAAGATAACTCACCAATCCTATTTTCCAGCCATGCCACTCTATAATATGTGTGAGAATGCCATCAGCTAAAGGAGCCGGTTTCATTATCATCCACGTTACTCATTAAACCCTGGGAAAGTCAGTCCCCTTTCAGTCACATCCACAAGTCGCTCCAGTCCAAAATCTGGAAATAATGTGCTGAATAAGCCATAATAAGCAAAGAAGTAACCATCCATGTGGAATAAACATTATTTAGCATGAGGCCTTTCGAATACTGGAGAAAACCTTTGTCAGAAAGTCAGGGATCAGGTAATTTGACTGGGAAAATGATGTCCAAGGTAGGTCACTGCAACTTGAGAGAGCAATGTTGTTCATTTTTTAAACCCAATTTAGTTGATGTTCTAGCTTCTGACAAAAAGCTAAATCCGGGGAAAAGTAAAGGCTCAAGCTGTGTGGTTCGTTTGCATATTTGCAACTTTATTGCACACACAACAAATGCTTTGATAAAAATGACAAAATCAGAGCCTAGGCAAGCAAAAAAATTAAAGATGGCAACAAATACATTTAGGTGACAAGATAATTTACCAGTGAAGGTACAATTGGGCCCCCTGGAATGCTGGCACTGGGCCCCACATTGAAAGAAAAGCAGCCTGCCAGGAAAACCAGCCCTCCTAACACCCCTTTCCATATTACAAAGCCATTCTTTACAGAAAAAAATCCAACATACACACAGCACTTTTGTTGTTCCTTCGAAAATAAGTTTTTTACAAAACCTTTGTAATTCTGTATACTTCTTTTCTCTCTGTAGACCTGAAGATGAAAATAAAATGTCTTGAAACTTTGTTAAAAAAAAAATGGCTCTGGATATCAGATTGAAAGATGGGGATATGGAGGAAGAGAATGTGCTCATATATTTTGGAGTGGATTTGTCAGCTGATGGATCAATGAGGTGAACCACAGAACTGATGAGTGGGAAAAAGGTGAGTGGTACACTGAGCCATCTGTGGTGACAAAGAACGAGAGCATAGTGGTACCAACACTCTTACATGGGTGTGAAGCATGGGTTGTGAATGTGGAAGAATTGAGGCACTTATGCAACATATGGGAATCTTTATTTTAGAAATGTTTCGCATACAGTGACTTCGTCAGTCCTATACAAACAGGGAAATGGAGGAGTTTGAGGTAATCAGTCTCTCAGCCTGGAGTCGATGTGTTCAGTCCATCAAACTTGTGGAAAGTACAGCACAGGGCCATAGAAGTCAGGTGAATGTGGTTGTGAATGTGGCAACAATGAGTCAGTGAAGATGTGCCCGAGGGCACTGTGCCGAGTGAATATTATGCCAGAGAATTCAAAGGTCGGAGATTAGGAGGTGCAGGGTTACCAAATGTATTATCCATAGGGCTGAGGAGGGGTTAAGGTAGTTTGGATATTTAGAGAGGACTGAGTAAACTAGGATGAATACTTGTAAATAGAGGGGAAAGGGAGGGGTTTCCCCCAGGAAAGGTTGGATGGTGGGGGTAAAAGAGGTTTATATGTGTGTTTAGTGAGTTTGTGTGGGGGTGTTAGTTACCATTTGGTCCTAGGCACAAAGGCGATTAGACACTAGGGCCCGTTGTATGTGCATGCATGTGTGTGTGTGTGTGTGTGGTTGTGTGTGTGTGTGTGTGTGTGTAACTCACCTAGTTAGGTTGCGGGGTCGAGTCCGAGCTCCTGGCCCCGCCTCTTCACTGATCGCTACTAGGTCACTCTCCCTGAGCCTGAGCTTTATCATACCTCTGCTTAAAGCTATGAAATGGATCCTGCCTCCACTACATCGCTTCCCAAACTATTCCACTTACGGGACTACTCTGTGGCTGAAGAAATACTTCCTAACATCCCTGTGATTCATCTGTCTTCAGCTTCCAACTTTTGTCCCCTTGTTACTGTGCCCAATCTCTGGAACATCCTGTCTTTGTCCACCTTGTCAATTCCTCTCAGTATTTTGTATGTCGTTATCATGCCCCCCCCTATCTCTCCTGTCCTCCAGTGCGCAAGGTTGATTTCCCTTAACCCTCTCCTCGTAGGACATACCTCTTAGCTCTGGACTAGTCTTGTTGCAAACCTTTGCACTTTCTCGAGTTCCTTCACGTGCTTGGCTAGGTGTGGGTTCCAAACTGGTGCCGCATACTCCAATATGGGCCTAACGTACACGGTGTAACAGGGTCCTGAATGATTACTTATTAAGATGTCGGAATGCTGTTCTGAGGTTTGCCAGGAGCCCATAAGCTGCAGCAGTTATTTGGTTGATGTGCGCTTCAGGAGATGTGCCTGGTGTTATATCCCCCCCAAGATCTTTTTCCTTGAGTTTAGGTTTGTAGTCTCCCGGCCCCCCCTAGACTGTACTCTGTCTGCAGTCTTCTTTGCCCTTCCCCCAAACTTCATGACTTGCACTTGGGGGGATTGAACTCCAGGAGCCAAATTTCTGGACCAGGTCCCGCAGCCTGTCCAAACCCTTTGTAGTTCTGCCTGGTCTTCGATCGAGTGAATTCTTCTCATCAGCTTCACGTCATCTGCAAACAGGGACACCTCAGAGTCCATTCCTCCGTCCCTGGGGTGTGTGTGTGTGTGTACTCACTCACCTATTTGTGGTTGCAGGGGTTGAGTCTTAGCTCCTGGCCCCATGTGTGTGGGGTGTGGGGTGTGTGTAGTGTTGTTTTGTGTGTTGTGTGTTTTGGTGTGTGTGGTGTGTGTGTGTGTGTGGTGTGTGTTTGTGTGTGTGTGTGTGTGTGTGTGTACTCACCTATTGTACTCACCTATTTGTGGTTGCAGGGGTCGAGTCACAGCTCCTGGCCCCGCCTCTTCGCTGATTGCTACTAGGTCCTCTCTCTCCCTGCCCCATGAGCTCTATCATACCTCGCCTTAAAACTATGTATGGTTCCTCCTCCACCACATCACTTTCTAGGCTATTCCATGGCCTGACTACTCTATGACTGAAGAAATACTTCCTAACATCCCTTTGATTCATGTGTGTGTTGTGTGTGTGTGTGTGTGTGTGTGTGTGTGTGTGTGTGTGGTGTGTGGTGTGTGTGTGGTTATGTGTGTGTGTGTGTGTGTGTACACTCACCTATTTGTGGTTGCAGGGGTCGAGTCATAAACTCCCCGGCCCCGCCTCTTCACTGATTGCTACTAGGTTTCCCCTCTCTCCCTGCTACATGAGCTTTATCATACCTCGCCTTAAAACTATGTATGGTTCCCCCCCTCCCCACTTCACTTTCCAGGCTATTCCACGGGTTGACTACCACTAAAAAATAC